TTTTTAGTCTACATCACTGTTTTTTCTAATTTTTCAAAAGTTTTTTATCTGCTGAGAAATTACAAAAAATAGCTTTGATGCATTTTTAATTAATTGAAAAGCTGCATCATTCCAGTTGCAATCGTATTTATCGAAAAATGTTTTCAGACGAAAACAAACTACACAATTGTAAAAAAAAACTTGAAACATTTTTTTTAATCAAAATAATTTAACTTACATTATTCTCACAGCATAATATGTACAATCTTCATAGGTATATAATATTATACAATAACTGACGACATTGTTAGGTCATCCTGTGTAATATATAACTACATTTATAGAACTGTAATTAACTAATGAAATTTAATTAGAGCTTATTGATTACACATCACAAAATGGTTATCCAATATATTAGGTGTATCAATTAATATATTTGTATTATGAGATATTAATATTTCTGTTCATTGCTCTATACGAATTTTTCGTCTATACTTACCCTTTTAATTAATTGTATAAACGTGAATGACGTTTATAGAAATAACACGTTTGTTACGGAAATTCAAGGTTGAAACTAAAAGTCACCGTGGAGAGAAGGGACATTTTCATGGTTGTTGTTATATTCTAACCAATATGCATTATAGACACGTCATATTTTTTCAATACAAGAAACAGAAACAATAAAATAAAAAATGAACCCCTCCCCTAATTTTATTTTAATAACGACTTTGACTTATTATGATTTATGTAATTATTGTGATATCACGTTGTAGTGAAAAGTTTTCTTTTATTATAGTGACTACTGGTAAGTATTGAGAACAACTTCAGATTACCAAAGATGAAGAAATCATTTTTAGATTCAAAGAATTTACATATTATTTAAAATTATAAAATATAAATAATAAGTAAAAGTTAAAAATCTTATAATTAAAAATATTTTTAAAATATAAAAAAGCCTAAAAATCTATTTAAGAAATATAATATTGACGATCGCAATATGATAATTCAGTGAGGTTGGTCAAAATCGGGGTTAAAAAAAGTAAATCTAAAATTTTAACACTGAATGGGTGCTATAAATGTTCTTGTTGGTTTTACAATAACAACAATAATAATAATTTTTTTTTTGTGTCTGTCATCACATTTAGGAGTAGAAAATGAGACATATTCTTTAACATTGATGTTGGTTTCTGTTTGACACTTTAATGTGGTTGGTACTTTTGAACTTTTGAGGAGGAGATCAAAAGTAATTTTCATAATAATATTCGGAAAAGAACTAACAAAAACCGCGAATAACGCAACAACTTCAGTTATCGTCAAAATCAATTGTTTCTTTTTTTTTTAACGAAGAAAGGAATATTCGTAGAGACTTGAAGTTCTCAACAAATATTTATAATATAAATGTCTATAGATATAGATGCTACAATTCTTTAAATATTTAGGATGTTTTTTAGGAATTAATTGACATTTTAAATTTTTTGCTCAAATTTTTATTTAAATTTCTGAACATTTTGTACGGTTGAAAATTTGTTCATAGTACAGTTTAATACTTTCATAAATGAATAAATATAACCATAATTTTTTTTAAGACTTTCTAAGTTAAAATGTTGACATTGTGTAATATTATAATATTAATGTGCAATACAGATTTTAGTCTTTCGATTTTAGTTCTATTATTGTAAATCAAAAAATATTCATTTTAGAAACTAGAAACTTTTCGACAGTACCTTCTACATTATTTCATTATTTTCTATACACAATGCAAATTGCAAAAATTTAGTCTAATTTTATACTATTCACATCATTCTCTGGGACCTCGATAAGTTAACACCTTAACAAGAATAATTATTTATTATGGTACCTTTAATATTATTATTCAAATTACTAGTACGAGTACTTTGCATTTTGCCATATTTTTAGTTTAAAAATTAGTTAAATCTGCTGTATAACTAAAAGAAAAATAACTTAGAAATAAAAACGTTTATGTACATAACATAACATCAAATGTACGAAATTGAATTGAGGTATCGTGGAATTAAAAATTGTAAGCATTGTTTAGAGTTGATTTTTTTGGTTATAAAGGCATTTTTCACAATTGTTCACAATTTTTAATTCATTTTTATTATATTTTAGTAGTTTTTCACATTTTATTATTAATTTTTTCAGTTGATATTTACATAATAATATTTAAAAAAAAAAATTTTTTTAATACTTTTCCTTGATTACTGATTATAAATCATGCTTTCCTACACTTATATAAAACAAGCACCAAAGGTACAATTACAGGTACGCAAAATATTATTTAATACCTTTACACTAAATGTATTTAAAAATTATAATTTTAAATTTATCCAATTATGTTTTTTTTGTATGAGCTAATATTTTTTTATTAATTCATTTTTTGTATCTAGGATATATATTTTAGGTCTTTTAAAGGTCACATTTTAGAAGTTTTGTAGGTCATTTAAGTCCTTGCTTGGATAATAATAAATGATACTTTGCGATTATTTCGTCAAAACTTCGTATCGTATTTCTAATTCAAAAATAATTATTTAATATAAATATAACATAATTAAATATTCTCAGAAATAGAGACTTGCACACCGTCTTGGTTCATAATATAAGTGATGATTGAATTCAAATTTAACACATTCATTTCAGCAGTGGTAGTTTTGAGTGAGGCTATGGGGTTGAATTCCCCCTGACTTGGAACTTGGTTAATTCGTTTAAATATGAAAGCATTTAAAAAATTCAATTTATAGCAATTATATTAATTTAACAGTAAAATATAATATTGAAAAATGTTTAAAACATAACAAGAATACAACGCCCTCATGAAGTTGTGTCAAAACTACAATTGCAATAGGTATATTGGCCAAGTATACTCAATGACTAGGTGTATTAGAAATGTACCTACCACACATACAGAGCAAGTTGTCCGGTTTTTTAAATTTATATTCGTGTTTACCACATAAAAGTAATAATTTACCGTACGATTGACATGCATGCGGAATTTTGAGGTCAATTTATTTTTAAAGGTGGGGTAAATATCTATACAACAACGATATCTTTGTGTTTCGGTACTGTACTTATAGTTTATACAATTTCGCCAAAAATATGTCTCCTGGCGGTCCGTCGAAAAAATACCATCCGGTTTTGTCAATCTACTCAAGATGGCGCACAGACATTATTCGAAAACTCAATAAATTACTGGCTCAATTTGTCTACATATAGATAGCGTCATGCACTTTTCATATAATTTAATTAAATGTCAACATTTAGAAATTAAATATCAAATAATATATGTTTGATGCTGTTTATGTTTTCTGCCATTCGTCATTGTTATAATCTATATTTTACATATTATATAATTATAACAATATAATTTTGTCGTTTAAGTGGAAGTGTGGGCGTAAGGTAATAGGTAATCAAAAGTGTACCTAGGTAATAGATAAATAAAAGCGTAATAGGTAATTGGCTCGGCATACGGATTTAATATATTTTATAATATGATACCTAGTATTTAATTAAAATTAATTGAAACAAAACGTATGGCCTCGAACGAATATCATAATATTACTCTAGTGGGATGTATTAATTACAATATAAATGAGAACAATGCATTTAAATTATATAACTACCTATTAATGTTAACTCGATAAGTACTATTATTACACTAATTATTACCAGCTTTGAATGAATTTAAATTTGGCCGCAGATTTATTATGTAAATAAGGGAGCAAATTACAAAATATAAAGCTCGGTAGTTCGTAAATTTGTGAAAAATTCTTGGGAACACTCTGTGACAACAATCTATACGTCTTATAATAACAAATCGTTTATACTAATCTATAACTATAATTATTTCCAAGAAACGTCTCAATTAGTGTCTCATTTCAGAAAAAATAAAATATTGTAAATTTTGTTTTTTATAAATCATCTTGGGAATGTTTTAAATGCATTAGTTTACTTGACCCACAACATATTATGAGATATATGGTAGATAATATACAGGTTAGGATAACCTACGTTTTATAAAAAATATATTAATATAATTTCATATGACATTAAATAATATGCAAATCTATCATGACATACAATACCACTCAATATTAAAATAATTTTATATGAAATGTAACAATGTTATGTTTCAATATTTATAAATAAATCAATTATGTATACAACATTAAAACATAGTTTAAAATATTTTTCATTGTATATGCAACTTGCTCATATTATATTTCAATAAGATCTATTTAAAATGCACGAAAAAAATATGACATTTCTTGTTTTAAAAATCAAGTAATGTAGGTAAATTTGAAATCGAAACTTAAAACCGGTTAGATAGTAACATCAGCAATGTAGATAAACGTATATATTATTGTCATTATGATATTATGTGAGACGATCACATTATATAATATTATTTAAATGCGATTACTATCATTAAAATTGTTTTCTTTTTTTAAAATATTTCTACTTAAGTACGTAACAACTGTATTAAAACAAATACAAATGAGGAAACATGCTTATAGATTTCCATAATACTGTTTTTTAAACATTACTTATATAAGGTTTAATTTACAGACACTTCTTCCGGTTTTTATTATTAATTGTTTCTCCAACAGCAATTCATTAATCTGTAGTAACTTAACTGTTTGAAAGTATAACCAATATATTATATCATATTATAGTAAGTTGTTCAGTTTCTGCTCAAAAACCATAATTTTAGGGAAATAATATCAAAACTAATTTTTTAATACAAATATTTATTATATATTATTACAATATAAGTATAAATAATATTTTCATTTAAGTACAAAGTTAAACAGCTTTAATACAATTTACATTATATTTTAAGCATTCATAAATAATGGAAAATAATTTTGGCACATCAATATTTTATAATTTAGTCTCCAAAAACTTAAACTAACAACACTCAAACTTAAAATGAATTTAATTTAAAAAAATAAAATATACACGTATATATGTATTTTCTATATGTTATATACATATATATTGTATACTACTAAGTCAAAGTCACAGTCTGTTTAAAAATATGTTCTTACTGTATGGCTTATAAGCACCCGCATAATTGTAGTATTATGTATAACCTAACTTATCCTACCCTTGGAAATTTTTGAATGAGTTGACAGTGGATGATTCACGTTTGCTGTTAGGTGAAATCGAATTCGAGTCGACGTAAAAACTGTCGGTATTGAGTTTGTAATTGCTATAAGAGTTGCCAGCCACTGGAGAACTGGGTATGGTATAAGAACTACTCTGGATTGAGTTGGAATCGCTATAAGAGTTCGCAGAAATTGAATTGGAGCTGGGGTAAGAAACGCTTGGAATGTTAGCGTCTCGGTAGGAGAGGCTTGGACCACCAGTAGGGTTAGCTGCTGCTGCAGGTACTCCGCGGTCGGTTCCAATAGAAGATACCGGAGCTGCTGGTGGTGCTTTTGTCGAACCGGAAAACTCACTGTTCACGGAACTGGTTAAGGAATAAGCTATGTTAGGAATTGAAAAGAAATTGGGAACATCATTTGATGCACTATTTGAACCACCGGAAACTGGAAGGGGAACCGTGTAGTAGGTGTTCAAGGGAGTCTGATCGGGTTTGGCGTTTGAACTGACCGCAAGGAAATTGTTTGTATTCCCGGGAAGCGGGCCGCCGTTCGGGGCATTGGAGACCTGGTTCAAACCGGAAGTACCCGCCACAGGAGCCGTCAACAAGCCAAAATCATTACTGGGATAATTGTTATTATTGTTATTGCTGACAGGGGGCTGATAGGAGGAAGGCAGCGTAGACGGAATGTTTACATTTTGTCGATAATCGACCGACGATGCGGGCGCGGTGTACGGTGGAGGTCTTAACTCCAAAATTAAATCAGGTGTGGATCCAGCTGCGGGTAATTGATATACAGAACTTCTGAAATCTCCGGAGGTGGTTGGATATGACTGTTCTGGTTGATTAGATGTGGCGGCTATATACGTCTGTTGTAAAGGCTCAGTTAATGTGGTCTGATAAGGTTGTTGCTGTTGTACAGAGCCAGTGGCCGGATATGACTGTTGCAACGGAGCAGATCCAGAAGAAGAATACGACTGTTGCTGTGGTACAGATCCAGAAAGAGAATACGATTGTTGCTGTGGCGTAGGTCCAGAATTAGAATACGACTGTTGCTGTATAGATCCAGAAGAAGAATATGACTGTTGTGGTTGTACAGATCCAGCGACCGGATACGACTGTTGCAACGGAGCAGATCCAGAAGAAGAATACGACTGTTTCTGTGGTACGGGTCCAGAATTAGAATATGACTGTTGCTGTGGTACAGGTCCAGAATTAGAATACGACTGTTGCTGTGGTACAGGTCCAGAAAGAGAATACGACTGTCGCTGCGGTACAGATTCGGCGGTCACATACAACTGTTGCAGCGGAGCAGATGCGGTGGCTGGATATGACTGTTGAAGTGGCACAGATATTGCAGCGGGGTACGACTGTTGCTGTTGCTGTGGTACATATGCGGGAGCTGGATATGACTGTTGCAGCGGAGCAGATGCGGTGGCTGGATATGACTGTTGCAGTGGCACAGATATTGCAGCAGGATACGACTGTTGCTGTTGCTGTAATACAGATTCGGTGGCTGGGTACGACTGTCGTTGTGGTACAGATGCGGAAGTCGGATATGACTGTTTCAGTGGAGCATAAATTGCATATGTCTGTTGTTGTGGTACAGATGATGCAGAAGCCGAATACAATTGTTGCAGTGGAGCAGGTATGGCTTTAAACAATTCCGCCGTAACGCGCTGCTCGTTAGGTCTAGTCTGTTGTAGTGAAACTGTACTTTGAGCAGTCAGTTTCGAGTTCTCGGTTGCTGGAAATCCGGTGATACGGGTGTGGTGAAGACCAACGTTGGGCACAGATGGACTATAATTTACAGAGACCGGTAGCGAGGGCGATGAACTTGAAGCGAGCGTAGATTTGAACTGAAGTTGGTTCAGCGTGGACTCGGAAAATGGATAACCAACCGAGCCGAGCCCAGAGCCGAACGCGGTAGCGGCGTACGGGTGGGACAAGTGCAGTAGCCCGGCGGATGTGCCGAAACCGGCGGTCGCGTCGTCGAACCCGAAGCCAGCTGTGGTGGACGGAAAACCGGAACCGGAACCAAAATCTGGCAACGTCGAGGACGGCCCGAAACCACCGAAGTCCGTTGTTAGACCGGAAGTCAGATCCAGGTTGGGGTCAACGGGGCTCCTTTTGTGTTGTTGGTAGACGTAAGCATTGGTCGGTGATGGTGCTGCAGCCGCTGGTCGACCAGGTGCGGCAGTCAGAGCCAAGCCCACGACGACACACATCTACAATAAAATAAAAAATACACGTGTAAGCATAAAACGTTTATACCGAAGTGATATTCGTAGATCTATGTAGGCACAACATCATAATTTCACTAAAAAGTGATAAAAAAAACTACGATCGGTGATCGTACTACGCGATATCGCCTCCAACAACGCATTAGGCGGATACCGTCTTTTAAACATGTATAAATTATTGTCCCGTATTCTTATATATAAGTGCGACGACGGAAATCGTTACATCCGCCGCTGCAGATCGAGATTGTTGTACTATATAGATACAATATTATTACCTTTAAACACTCCATGACGAAAATGCGCATAATATTTTGATGTCCGCTGACTGTTGTTGACTGATAGCCGGCTGCCGACGTGCTCTCCGTTTTATAATAATATTTTCAAACCGGTAAAGAAGATTCGCATCGATCCTCTTCTTTCCCACCACTCGCCCGCCATCACTGCAAAGCGGTCGCGTTATTATAGTTGTAAGCGTTTTTTTTTTTTTTCTAGTCGTTTGTCGTCGTACTTTCTATGTAGGTATATTATATACAACACGCTATACCCACATAAGATTTTAATAATATATAAATAATAATTCTGTAGTATTATGTACACTCGCATAATAATTATTATTGGACGTTATTCCGGTTGCGCGTATAATATTATATTTTTATGCACCCGTATTAATAATAATAATATTATATGTTTGTATTGGTATATTATACGTAAAAAATGGTTACAGACTCCGATGTTATTGTATTGGTCGGCGTGTGTCTGCGATGCCGATCGCTCACACATATATATATAATATGTAGTAGGTATATATACCTGTATGATATATATTTGTACATTGTGCATCGATGCCAACTATATACCTGTTGTACTAGTACATACCTATATAGTATTAAAGACGAGAGACCAGTTTCCGCAGACGCTTCTTCTTCACCTCTGGCAGAGTGTTGTACTCGTTGTTGGCGGAGCGTATTATAGAAGAAATCAACACATGTCACCCACGTCGATTCAACTCTCGTTCGGTAACCGTCCGAGAGGATGTTACATTATTATATTATACGCATTGTGTAACCGTCTCCTCGCTTCCGGTTTATACCGTTTGTTCGCGTTCACGGCAATATTATGCCAACGAAGGTTGATTTGCATTGCTACGTATATTATTATGCATTACGTATAGGGTTTTGAATTTTAAATATTGTGTCAATGACATTTTTTTATACGTATCCCGATAAAGATGATTAGTATTGATAAGTAAACATATTAAACTTTGATACCAACTACCAACCGATTGATATTCATCAGGGTATCAATAGCCGTGGCTTAGGAATTAGGTACATTGTCAATGATTATAATATAGTTTTAGAATTTAGAATTTATCGGTTTTTAGTTACCCATCACTACTTAATTTTATAAACATCAGGTCTATCATAATTTAAAATAATTATCAAACAATATAAAGTAACACATAGTTTCTAAATAATACATGATAATAAATAATTTCATGTGTTAAATCTTAAATTCTTGTGAGTTTGTTACTTATGAGTCAGATCTTTATGAGGTTATATTTAATTATGTTTAAATTGTTTTATATGGATATGCAACTTGTACATTGTCTATCTTTGTTTCATACAATTAACGTACTTTTAAAAATGTTCTTCCGCGCTCAGTATATTACTAGAATATACTAAAAATATTAAAACACTTTTTTTAATTTTTTACTTAATGTTATTTTTATTTTTTACATACATGAAATAAATTTTTTTAAATAAACGTCATGAGGGGGCTTCCTCAAACACAGAATACCATAACACCATTAAGCTCTATTTGTTGTTTTTTTTTAATACACCACTATAAACAGTAGGTACATAAAATAATTAATATTGAACATTTTCAACACATTTTCATCTAAAATATAAATAGAAGTCATACACTCACTCACTATTTCTCAAAAATTAAAAAACATATACATTTCTTGAAATTAAAAAATTTTAACTGTATCAGTATATTTTTTGGTTACAGTATAAACAATGAACTATTTATAAGAAACTTTGATTAACGTTTTTAACCTTTAGCTATGCAAATTAAACATTTTATATATATATTATATATACATTTAATATATTCATATATTATATTAAAATATGTTTTATCAACATAAATATAAAAAAATAACTGAATAGTTTCAAATTTTAACCTACCTAGAATAGGTATAACTATACCTAGTATAATATATACTCGTTTCAGCGATGTAGGTACTATCAGGGTGTAATAATTATTTTGGTATTACCAGTTTTATTTGTTATACCTACATATTTATCTTTGTCATTAAAATAATAAATAATTTTTATATGATATTATAATCCGTGTGACTTGACTATATGATTGTTACAAAAATAAACAATTTACCAATACACAGTAATATGATATCACTACGTATAACATAATATTTATGGTAAAATAGAAAAACAAATACGTGAATTTAATACATGTGTTATGAATGGGTAAAATAAACAAGGTACATGTAACATCGTATTACATTATATTATATATCACTAAAATTCATACTGTAATGACTAAAGTTCGGGCAAACAGACGTGCTTTATTTGCTGTTTAACTGACTTTGACTGGGGTTAAACACATTTCAAAATATTCCATTTCCCAAATAAAATACGATCTAATTTATGCTTTACGTATTTATGTGGGTATGATGTTTAATATACTATAAAGTAAAAGCATATACATTTTGATGTCTGAAGGGATTCATGTTTTCGATGATAATATCAAATGTAATGAACGAATTTTCAGATTGCAAATGTTATATGTAGTAATCGCCCACCACAATCGATAATAGTTAATACTATACCCCCAGGCGGAGAACTTAAAGATATAAGACGTCTAATAATTATTTGCAAATAAGTTTATATAAAGCAAAAATAATAAATAAAACAAAAGGTTTTTTTATCGGTATCAATTGATCAATTAACACTTTTTTTAATAAGTAACTTAAGTTTGTATCATATTATACTTTTATTTTTATAATTTCAAAACTTAATAATGTCACTAGAAATATTATTTTTATTAGGGCTGTGAATTTGTAGGAAAGTGTATTTTTTTTTTTGTGATTGTGAAACATAGCTTCGTAAGTACATAATTTAAATTATATGTAACTACGAATCCATTTATGCAACTTTATTTTGCATTTTTTGACATTTTTAACTGTTTAGGTCATATTTTCCTTTCTTAATTCATTTTCCAATATTTTTAATCAAATTTCGTCAAAAAATTTCATCGAAAAAATGTTTGAAAAAAAATTGTTTTTGAACACAGGTTGTATATACGTCGATAAAATAAGGCAATTGCTTGATAAGTGATAACTACATAAGTTATTTGTAATCTATTTCTACAATTTTTAAAAAATGTTTCAGGTGAAGTATAGGATTAAGTAAAGAAAATTCAAATTCAATCAACATTTTTATTATTATTTTTTTAAAAAAAACTTTTTTTATGCATGTAATGTACTTTTGTATAATATCCTGTACCTAATATTAATATAAATATTTAAATTTAATTTAAAACCATTTTAAATGCATCTTATGCTATGATAATTCTTGGAATTTTATATTGCATTTTTGCATTTTAAGTGCATTTTTTACTGCATTTTTTTGACATTTTTAATGCATTTTTTAAGGTTATTTAGTGCATTCAATTCGTAGCCCTAATTATTACATTCATTTGACAGCGTGGAAGAGCTGATAAGTATTAGGTACCATTGTACCAATGATAAGTGTGAGGAGTATAATAATATAAAACACGGTTGAACGACGAATAATCTAAACGTATTATTTAGCCGAAAGGGAAAGGGACTTAACTTTACTATAGGCAAAATAATATTCAATGATGTCAAGAATTTTTTTTTTCTATACGTAGTCTATATTATAATATGTTATGTTTATCATAACGAAGTTTAGAAAAATAATATTTTATTGTGATACCAGACATGCAGGTTAGGATACCAGGATACGAGTAGAAACATTTTCTTCTCAATAATGAGCATAATATTATTTAATTGTTTGACTTGTACTTGTTTTTTAGATTGCCTGACGTCCAACCACACTATAATATGTGGTGTTATTTGATTGACCATAGATATAAAATATTATTAATAGAAATTATTTTATCGTGGACCCAAATTAATCTCCGCCGCTGTCTTGACCAGTTTGTCAAATCATCGTGAGCAAACTGCTTACTGTTGAATACGCCGAGGCTCGAGTAGAAATAATACAATAATAATACTACCTAACCAGTAACCAGTAACAGCTTGTATGGAAATAATTGGCATTTGGCTGCATATTATTCTACAGTACTACACATACCTATAGATAAGTGTAGCATCCTTGTTAAAATACTTTTGAAATTTATTTTAAAAATGTGTTTAAATTCTAGAATGTATTTAAATACAAATATATATATTTATTATAAAAAAAAAACATTTAAAATACTTTTAAACTAGTAAACATAACGTCATATTTATGCTAGCTTATGAGAGCTCTTCAGAGATCGAATTTGCCTCGGTATTTTTTTATTTTGATACATACAATTTTTTAAATGATGTCATTTTTTTAAATTACAGTAGAAAATGTCAACTAACAAATTTAAAAAACCTATAAAACCTGATTTTAGTGTTTTTTATTATTAATTTTTGTATATATGAATCACAATACATTTGAAACATATACCAAAAAAAGGTATTTAGTTTCTTAACAAGTACCTACCTATACTATACATATATGACATATTATTTATGAGCAACCGGTAGGTAATCCTTATATATTTATTTAAAATCATAAACATATTATATTATCCGTAAAAAGTCGTATACGTTATATGTTATTATGCAAGCCACTGCTATATAGCTTGGTGCAGCTGACGTCGAAGCCGACGCCGACACTGTATTTTATTTTTCCACTCCATATAAATATATATAATATGCATAATATTTATTTATATTATGCTCCTATATACGGGCACTGTATTGGCTTTCTGCTCTAACGCGATACACTATGTGACGTGCGTTATACATATTTTATACTAACCGGCCAATTATGCGGTGTTTTATACTTCAACGATCCGCCGCACCGAGTAAGGTACACATACGTCTAATATAATATGGTATAATGCTTGTGTCTGGATATGCCAAGATGCGTGCATTTATAGGTACCATGAGTACATGGCATTTATATATAGTCGGACCGATTAATATTAGTAAAATATTCACTTGCTCTGCAGAGAGAGAGAGAAAGAGATATGAGAAGTGAGAACTATAACGCTTTCTCGTTTATATAATATACCAATATACTGGATATACACAACACTATAA